TAGTTTAGTTCATTAGTTAGTTCCCCCCAACGTTTGCTACTTGTGTCATAAGGCATGCAGCTATTTAAAGCTACGCCGATTATTTGTTGAGTCAGCTTCTTTGGTCTCACCACCACGCTAGTTGAAGCGGACGCCTCTTCACGTGCTTTAACAGCTTTGTTGTACTCCAACAAGCGCTTCTGTCTCAAATGATGAAACGTGTTCTGCCATGTGTGTATGAAAACAAAGCCACTGCGCATGCGCATTTTACCCATATTCTACCGCGATATTTCATTTTCTTATCTTTGCCTAACATTGTATCGGTACTACCGTGAACGGTATAATATGGCCCAGCCCTAGTCAGCGACTCGATAGATAACATTTAGGTGGCTACACCGGTCGTTCATATGAAAGTCCATGGTCAAGACTTTTTACTGTAGACCTGAAGCCTGATTTTGCTTCCTGGATAAAAGAATGATTTCCAGTTTCTTGCTCAGACTGAAGAATAGGTGGATCATTAAATTCCCAAAGCCGAGGTATCTGGATCATTAGCAGGACTCTAAAACCTGTACTACATGTGCACAGTGGATGGCTTTCTTCTCAGTCCATTGAAGACTAATCAAGAGGAAAGGATGTAATGAATCATGTCTGTTTAGTTTTTAATGGCTGCTTTTAATGTTAGTTTCCACTGCAGTCACAATCAATATCTGTGGTCTTCGTTCTCCGAGACATCGCACCGCAGGCATAAACATATTATTACACAACATGTTATTAATGCACTTTGCCAGCATACTCACATCCACCCACACACATACACGCTTGTTGTCCTCCACACATGCAGAAATGTGCTGCACACAAAGCAAACACAAGAAGACATTTGAATTTTTGTCCTTTTGTGTTTTTGTTAAGCCCAAAATGAACCACGTGAGAACTCTTCTTCCAAGACACGAACGAAAACACAAGTGACAATGTAAACTCACCGTAGCATACTTCAAGATGATATCAGCTCGTTCTTCTGCGATTAGACTCTCGATGTCTTTCTTCATGTCAATATCTACGGAAAAAAGGAAGAGCAAGATTTGCATAAACTAGAGAAAACAACAACTGACGATGAAAAAAATAACACGGCTAGATGTGACTACCAGCACGATGAGCTGGTATACCTGAAGCATGCTTTGGTTTTAAAGAGAATAAACACATCAGTAGATGGTTGCCTTGGATTTAGTAGAACAATATCATAGTGGGGCTTTAAAATATCAGCTGCAAAACTGCACCAGAAACGTGCTAAAGCAGCGGTCCCCAACCTTTTTTGCACCACGGAGTCGCGGATGAATACAATAAAATAAAACCAGTACCAGAAAAAAGAAGATTTATTCATAACACACAAGAAAAGACCCAGGGAAACAGAGTTAACGATAAAAATGCTAAAATAATCATAAAAACAGATAAAACCCCTGAAAACCATACATTTCTCAAGTCTCGTGGCCTGGTACCGGTCCGTGAGTTGTATGGTACCGGTCCCTGGCCTGGGGGTTGGGGAACGCTGGTCTATAGGACTGAACAAGCTCGGTAAAGTAGAAAACTCTAGTTTTTCCAACAAGAGCTTTTTTATCCCTGCGGATCTGAACTCAGGAAATATCCTGTACCAAAGCAAGGCCAATAAAATCTGACACGTGGTAATTGATTTAGTGATCTGAAAGCAGGTTATGGTGAGTGAACTGTGCATTTGTCTGTCAGCTGGATTGAAGAGCTGTGTGAAGGTGTAAAAGTATAAGTGCTCATATACAGGCGCACCAAGGCCCTGTGCCAAACTGTGACATGACAAGGCCTGTTTAAAGAGCAATACATACTCTTCTAACTTATACAGCCTCTAGTACTAATAAGTAATAGTAATAAGAAAACAATACAGTACATTTCATAATTTGACTTAAATCCAATAAACGGAAGCCACCGAGAAAATGTTCCCTCTCTGTTTCATGAAACTGAGCATAACAAAGTCACGCTTATCTGCAGGTCAGTGATTTATGGCCCCCCGTCGAATGATTTAGGAAGTAATAAAAGTTAATGGCAGTTATCATTTTGATGACTATCATAAAATTATGATATTTCTTAACTCAGTAATAATCAATAATCCGATGCCCAAAAATATGTGATCATGAAAATATGGCGATGGATGAGGATGATGAAGAGGTGGTTTGAGACAGAAACGAAAACTGTGGAATATTCATATTTTTGTGCTGTTGTCATTTTAAGCCAAAAAGTTTACTTTTTTAGACAAAAAAATGTTCCCTTGGCAGAAACCTGTGTGTGTGTGTGTGTGTGTGTGTGTGTGTGTGTGTGTGTGTGTGTGTGTGTGTGTGTGTGTGTGCGCGCGTCTGTGAAACTGTGTTAAACCACAGTAAAAAGGTTGTTTTTGGTAAAGCCAGTGCTTTTGTAAGGATGGGGAGAGTTGGAGGCTGCGTGCCCCGATGGATACATTTTGTTTGTTTAATCCAAAAAAGTTAGACTTACAAACGCTCCGCCTCAGCGTGAGACCGTCGTACCAAAGCGAGAGCGATGTTTTATGTGGAAAAACGCCTGAATGTGGTGAGGAGACCAACAACACTGGTAAAGTTGTGGGGCAGCTGGTAAGGACTTTCTGCAGCATCTGCAAAGCTGTCTTGGTTGGTTTTAAAAAAACGCGCTTTTACTCGTCAGAAGGCCGTAAATACAGGTCAGATCAAAACCGTCCTTAGTGGCTGAAGCGAGAGCCTGCCTTTCTAAAATTGCTTTATTGATCAGTGGTTTTTCTCATTGGTAAAAGCGAAGGCCACCTCTGTTTTAAATGGTTTCATTGGTGGATCGGGGAGGAGCTCCATCTTGCACCGTGAATCAGAGAGAATTTCACCCACACTGACCAAACTGTGCAAAGTCACACCTGACTCTCTCAGGGTCTCACGCTGAGGTGGAGCATGACTATATACTTTTGGGCATCTGATTTTTACTTTTGGCCTTCAGGCATCGCAACCACAAGGCCAGGTGCAACAAGAAGCATGGGTCATGGGAGACCAGCTGAAGCCTCACTTTACTTCACTGCTCAATTAGCAATGTTAACCTGCTTTGTAATGACAATACACAAAATGCAGTGTAGTACAATTACCAGTACGCCCTAGCATAATCTATTTGAGCCACTTTTAAAAAATGAACCTCACTCAGCTGAAGCTGGATTCTGACTGATGTTTCATCATCAAACAAAGCAGCAGAGGTATTAATCCAGCTTAATCTGCATCCTCTGTTTGGCTCTACACCAGTGACAGACCTGGAGTGATGATCCGGACACATTGCAGGACAACGCAAATCATCTGGATTAGGGAAAACCCCAAAGCGGGATTATGCAGTGAAAATCTGTGTTTGTCAAAGCCTGAACAAAGAGAAACAAAGAGCTTTGAGGAGCCAAACAGCAGACGTGCAGAAGTGCGGACACGTAACACTGATGGCTCCTTCTTGGTTTAAAAAGTCCACAAAAAGGATCCACCTTAAGAGTGTAGCTCTGATATTTAGACAAAATGCCACACTGTAGTGTCACACTGTAGTGTCACACTGTAGTGTCACACTGTAGCAACAGAATTTACTTTACTTTATATTTGAGTCCATTTGACCTCCTTGTGTCCTGTTGAGTTTCTATAAACAAATGACACAGAGAGCAAACTGAGCGTCTGACTATGCAAAGTGAACTGAATGTATGTTTTTACCCAGTAGGCAGCAGGATGCTACCTTTCTGCTGTGTTGCTGTTGTCTGAAGACAAATCTTTCCCGTCTGTTCTAAGATGGTGGCTTGTAACCAAAAAACGTTTAACGACTTTCATCTAGAGGCTACCAAGGAATGGGCACTGAAGCTTTAAATATGAGCTGTCCTCTGAAACATATGGCAGCGGCTGCATGTGGTCAGCGTACTAAATCACAGACGAGCTCTGGCAGGAGACCCAGCACAAAGGGTGGAGACCCAACCTAGGAGAGGGAACAGAGACGGGACTGCACCCTTTCACACTACCTGACTGATGAACATGTACTCTGCCTTTGCAGGCTGTGTTTTACTCTCAGAATACACGCTGAGCTTTATTTAATAAACCTCCGAGTGGAGACTTGGGAGCTGGACTTGAACCAAGTTTTTTGCTGAAGTGGTTCATGGTCGGAGGTAGGATTGTTGAAAGTGGGAAATGAGTCACATTTTGCCCTCTGCACATTTAAGTTACTGCGGGTGCATAAAGTGTTTGGTTGCATCGGCTAATTTTAATGTCATAAGCTCAGTTTCACAAATGAAACTAGCTAAGATTACTCTATCAGGATACGTAACGAATCAAAACATATTAACACATTAAATCATATTCATTATTAAAGAAGTGGTGTGTTCATTTAATATCATGTGGAGGAGTTTAAACTCTTTTTTGTCAAATTGAATTTTTTTTTATTCTGACCTCCAAATCTTTAGAGAACAATATAAAAAAAACGACATATTCTGATTGGATTAGGCTTGTAACTGATGACGACTTCAATCTCACAGGTTTAACACGGAGCTGTTATTCCTGTTTAGAGTGTCGTGCTTCTTCCTTGGATTCCTCTAGATTCGCTTGTCTAGTTTATATATTTTTTTCTCAACCCACAATCATATTTATTCAACTTTCACTTCATATTATACAGTAAACTATTAGCTATAAACTACTACTAATTTTTTTTTCTGATGATATAACCTCTGTTCACTAATTATCTGTGCTGATATCTGGATGTCTCAAAACCTGAGACATTTAGAACTGAAGGCAAACTTGAGACAAAGTTTCAAGTCAGAAACCTTAGCGTCATTTGGACAGCGATCTCACTTTTGATAATGATAGCAATAAGGTCACCAGGACAAGTTCCTACCAAAATGTAACAAATGTTCTGTAATATTCTAAACTGCAGATCTTTTAACTATTTCTAGATCAAAGTGTGCAAACCTTGATTTCAGTAAGTGTGGTCCTGTTCTTTGGAAGTGTGTGTGTGTGTTAACTTGCATTTTATTTCTTTGTAAAGTTTACTTTGGGTTTTTTCCCTGCCTTAAAACAATACAAACCTACACAGGTCTAATGTTTGTGTTTCCTGTGTTAAGCACACAGAGTTTGAACTGTAATGGTCACTGCCATTGTAATTTTAAAATCTGAGGTTTGGACTTTTACATAAAGTGAATATCCATCCGTCCCCGGGTACTTTATGTTGACAGCACGGACTGTCTGGGAGCCCTGTGGTTAAAAACTTCCTGGTGGACCACAAGCCTGGGAATTTGATCAAATGCCATTTAATTTAGGAGTAAGCATCATTGGAGCTCTAAAGAGAAGGAGAGAGTGTGAGAGAGAATTCCAACACAAAGTGAGTACAGCAGGACATACTTAAATGTTTTGTAACTGAATGACTCAGGTTCCTGTGCAGTTACTTGAATTACTAAAGATAAAGAACACCCAGTGAATTAGGGTTAGGGTTTTTTTTAGCCCTTGATGGTCTGGAGCCTACTCTCGATGATTCTCTCTGAAGACTGTAAAACATTTACAGACTCCTCATCTATTAGCTAATAAAGTACAATGGAATCGTTGCACTTTGTTGATCTTTTACATTGGTTTCAAACTGGATAAATAAAACTTTTACATCTTCCCAGCAAAACCTCACAAACAGAATCTCTTTTTTTTCTGTGCTCCAGAAAAATTAAAACATGTACAATGATTAGAAAAAATATTCATGTACTCAGTATTCAAGAACTGGCATACATTGGTTCAATTTAAGACCTAACCACTGTGTTGTGTTTGTGCTTACTAATATGCATCACATGTGAGTTACTGTGCAGAATGCGTATCAGTGAGTGAGGCAGTTATTAAGCCAATAAAGACTTAATAAGACCCACAAATGTTGGGAAAACTATGTGAGACTCAGAGAGTACAATGTTACGGGTTATCATTTCAGGACAAACAGCAGTAGCAGAAACACGCCAGTATAATAAAGCGTAATGAATATCTGAGCAGTGCTTCTGCTTTCAGCTGTCAGGAAAAATGTTGAATAACTTCGCTGTATTCTCGAAGCTCCCCCAGCAGGCCCGAGAGCTGCTGCCGCTGCCTTCAGTGTCTCCATCCCAGACACACGCAGGGCCAGGCTGCTGAAGGATGCTGCCCACGGTGTGGACGTGTTTCGCTGACATCAGGACCTTTGTAGCGGCTCAAAGTGTCATTTAGCGCTGGTAAACAAACCCACAGCCTCCGATAGTACGAGCCGCGCGCGATGCTGTGATTTGACACCATTCTACAGCCTCGCGCGAGACCTCGTTTTTATTCATTATTATTACTCCACAGAGAATAAGAAACAAATCTGGGGCATGGCTACAAAGAAACAAACACGCTTGTAATTACCTTGATCCTCTGGTGTATTCCTGCGCTATCCGTGCAGTTACCGCTCCGTTTGCTTTGGGCATTCTCTGCTGAAATTGCAGCTGCAGCAGAACAAGCCACCGGGCTGGTAACAATAGCCTCCCCCTCCGTCAATCCATGGGTTACCATCAGACACAGCACACACATACGCGCACACAGGAGCACACGGACGGGACAGAAACCCTCCAGGTCCGCGATCCAAGCAGCGGCAGCGGAGAAGACGCACTGAGCAGGCGCCGATCGTCAGCCGTGTGTGAGCTGTAAACCATCCGGCCTTAAAGAAACAGAACCTCCGACAACAGCTGTCCCGGTGGAGACGCAAACACCAGCATAGAAGCAGTAACTGGGCTTTCTGCTGCCGACATCTGCTGGAAAAACACTGCAGTGCAGGGATGGAGGCAGAGAGGTATGGAGCGCCGAGAGTGCCAGAATGAAATAACTGCGTGCACAATTAGTTCATCAAAAGTGTCATTGATCTAGTCCAGTTGGAAATACATAAACAATAAATACATATTATTAATTAATTAAAATAAATATATTAAATGCATAATTAATTTCATTTAACATAATTATTTGATGATGCCTGTATCTGCATCATAAAATAATTAATAAATAATATTTTTTATTGCTCATCATCAGATGATACCCAACATCTGATTGGCTACCCTGCACAGAAACGCAAGACAGACTGAGCCCAGATTCACTCAGGCCGCATCTAACTGGTTTGATTTGTTTGTTCCTGAAGCTTCATGACTGGATAGTTTTAGTGCCTGACTGGACAGAAACATTCAGAGCAGTGTGTTGATGCTGTTCATGGATATGCTGAAGAGCGACGTCAAGCCGAGAAATGATTAAAATGCCCGTTTTCAATTTTTCTCAACTGGAATTTAAAGTTTTGGAAATGTACTAATAAAAATACAATATAAAATATTAATAATAAAAATAATATTCTTGTTGCATATGTACCCTCTCTCCTCCCCAACAGGTGGACCAATCTCATTTAAACGTTGCACGAACATCATCACACATACAGCCTAAATACACAGTTACACAAATCATGCGTTTGGGTCTCCACCTGAAGGTTGTACTTGCTAATGTAATGATGTAAAAGAATGAACATGGTTTTGTTGCGGTTAAATTCCTGTTAAACTTGGGATCGCAACCATGGGTTTATTTTGAAAGATTCGATTTTAAAAGTCTGCTACTGGTAAACTGGTTTTCCCTAATCTTATCCCGTTAGTGGCAATGAAGCTTTTGCTGTGGTAAGTTCTTCCTCAGTCCGCCCTGACTGAACATGAGTTTAAAACATATTTGAAAATCCTTATTGAGGTTAACATGACAGTGCATTAACAGCATGAACTGCCCATACAGTAGCATCTGAGTAGATTTCAGTTTTATGATCTTGTTTTGAAATTAATGGGTTGGACGGTAGGAAAAATGGACACGCTGAGCTAGCGGCTAACAGCTAGAGGAGACTGTCGTGTCTAATAATTTGAAACTTCTCTTGATAGTTTGGGCGGAATCCTGTTGCTGGAAACCCATGGTTACTCATGTCCCATGTTATTGCAGAGACCCACAAAAGGGGAATAAACCACGCCTGAGCTCTACCCATCTCGAGTCCAGAGAGTTTTACTCATACACAGTGTTGGGACTAACGCGTTATTAAGTAACGCGTTACAGTAACTACGTTATTATTGTGGTAACGAGCACGGTAACTAGTTATTATGCCAAAACCGGGAACGCGTTACTCGTTACTGGGATTTAGATAGGCTCGTTACTCGTTACTTCATGTGGCGGCATCGCGGAGCTTCCACAGATTCAATAACATTAGCAAGTGGTGGAGGCCAGCAGGTGGATGAAGGAAAAGGGAGGCAGGAGGAGGAGAGACCCGAAGCAGCCGCTGGTCCGAGAGTGTCAGGTGAACTGAACTTCAGGTAAGAAGTTATGACCTGCAGTC